AATCAATTCGAATAGCCGAGCCCTCGGTTATGGGCAAGGCTAGCAATTTACCCAAGTTAGTGTTTTAAATTCTTAAAAACCTGCTTAATAACTAAAATGTGGAACGGTTGGCCTGGGTTGGCTTGGGACGAGCTGGGACCCAGGGTCGGGTTGCAAGTTCGGTCTGAATCATCGTAGGCCTTGGGTTAAGGCAGGTTCGTGTGGGTTCACGGCCTTGTTTAATAATATTGAATTGTTCTAGGATCGTGTTTTAAAAGTAGCTTTAAGCAACTAAGTGTCTTTTAAATGCTGTTTAGTGCAAACCCTAACCCCCTATATTATAACTCCTTTGTACTCCTTTGCATTTATTCTGCACTTGTGGGTGTGTCTTGTTGAGTATGGTGGTTGTACTTAGTCTTGCTCAATTTTTCCCAAACTCAGATGAGGAGCTCCTAGATGATGAAGGCTTTGGTGTCTAGCTCGTGCCTGCTGTCAAGCGCCTGTGGTCGTCGCCCTAGTCATCCGTTGTTTTTCGTTGTCTTCTTGTGTGCTGGTCCTTCGTTGCCCATGTAATAATTAACTATTTACGCTTCCGCTTGTTAAACTCTAAATTGTATCAACTTTTGGTGTTCCTTGCCTCCTGGGACAAGGAATAATACACGCACGCAAGGAACGCCTGTTGGGTTATTTCCAGTCGTGACAGCAATCAACTCGGCCCATGGTTGTTGCTAAGGTGCTCCTTGAGGTTGCTGTGGCATGGGCTCAAATTGATTGTATTGAGGAACAAACTGGGGTTGAGCCGATCCTGCCTGCTGGTATTGAACTTGCGGTGATGGCGGCTGTTACTGATAATTCAAATTGCCCCCCTGGTAATTTTGAAGATCCTGCTGAATATTGCGCACCAAATGCTTGGGAATAACTTGAGGTATCACCGTGCCATCTAGTTGTACATGATGAACCAAATGCTCCGGGACAACTTGATTTGCAGCATGCTGCACAGGCTGACCACCAGGTGTCGCAAACCTAGCCGATGCATTCATTAAGCCTTGTTGCTGGATCCGCTGGACAACCTGCTGCCTTAGTGGCGTCTATTGAATTGGCTGCAAAACCTGCCGTCTGTGTGGCATATGCTGAGCTGGTTGCACAACCTGTTGGATTGGGGGTGTTTGTTGAATCGGTTGCACAACCTGCTGCCTTGGCGTTGTTTGCTGAATCGGCTGCTGCTGGGTTGGATCAACGGTATGTTGAGGAGGTAAGAACATAGATGCAACCTAGTCTTGTGTTAGCCGATTCACGTTCTGTCCGCTGTGTTGTGGTTATTCTCTCACCAGCAAACGGGGATTAACCAATTGGCCTGGTGCCGACGGAGCTGCAGGAGGTGCGGGAGCCGATACTGGTGCCGTCAGCTGAGCCGATGGTGCATTGTGAGGGATTGACTGGACAACTGGTTGATTATCGGTGATTAATGGCCGATAATTCGGGAACCCTCCTCCTGGTAGATAAACCGGTCCTGTAGCTTGATGCTCAGCCATTGAACCATCAACCATTGATTTTACCATGCTTGCCAAAGTATTGGTTAATATGCCAGATTGATTGATCAAAGCATGGTGTACAACATAGTCAACCTGATCTTAGAAGTTGTTGAACTACAACTGTGCTGTATTGCTATCTTGATTAACACCTCCACCTTGAACTCCCTGAGCACCATCACCTTGAACTCCCTGTACTCCTTGAGAGTTGTCACCTTGATTTCCTTGAGAACCATATGTAGCACCTTTATCACTCGGTTGAGCCGAGCCATCTGGAGCTTGTTTCACCTCTCCATCCTTAGAAGAACCAGTCCTAGGAACATCAGCAACTACCTTTACCTTATACTTCTGCACCACCGTTCTCTTGCGCGTTTGCATAAATGAACTTAAGAACTGGTTACGTGCTTACTGCATCATTGCTTCAAATCCTTCTTTTGATCAGGTGTCAGCTTGTCTGGAGTGATGGTCACGATGTTGCTCTCATTAACCTCGGACAGGCCTAACTGCTGGATCTTCTCTTTAACAGAACCGGGGCTAGCCGAGGACGGTGATGCTGGTGGCTTCTCCTCCATGGAGAAAAACTGTTGTCGCGGTTCTGACTTCTTATCAGGTCCAACTAGGCGTGCCAAAAGCGTGTTGATGAAAAACACGAGGCTTGGGAGATCCGCTTTGTTCCAGTGCAGGTCCAAAACTCGCCTCCGGGTATGCTAACGTGCCAGTTGATTTGATCCTGCAATTAACAAGAAATAAAGACAAAGAAACCGCGGTTAAACTTATAAACGATAGACGATCGGCAAAAGGCCGATGATATATCATTTATCTTTGAGCCGATGTCATATATGTATCGATCGGCAGTCATGAATAAATAAGAAAGAACTAAAACTACTCGATCGGCTGCAGATATTAACGATATATACTCCTTATATCGATATATACTTAAATCAAGTGATTGGGATAGATCGGTCGCCATGCCGAGACAGTATAAATCACTTAGATCGAAATATATATTAATAATGGGACTATATATGTTCATAGCATAGCCGATCAGATAGATCTAGCATGTATCGGCTAGTACTCCGATACGACTCTATACTAAGATATTAAAGCAAGTAGAATATACCAAACAAAAGCCTAATATACTTAAATGCAACAAGATCTCAACATAAAGGGCAGATTTAACATGTTAATAAAGCACATAAAACAAATATAGTTAAATCAGGTAAGATCAGCTGAAACTCCGATACTACCCCAATCGGCAACCAAGAAGTAGGCTAGAGATTGAGATTCTAATCACGACTCATAAGATCAAACAACTGATGCAGCTATAAGTATGAAGGGAAGAACAATATCTAGACAATCAAGCCGCTGGAAGTTTCATAGAGTGGTGGATATCTTATATAATCTGAATCAACATCGATATTTAACCTAATCGGCTGCCCTCTATCGACAGATGTTAGCCGATTGTAAGTTAAATAGAGATATTGCTAGAGATTATGTAAGATATATGATAACTCGACGAATTATATAAACAAGATTAGAGTATCATTGAGATGGAAGCACTAATCCCGAGAACGCAAGTTGTCATAACAAGTTTTACCTCTTGTTGAAGATCGAAACCGATGCAGCTCAAACCAAAAGTAAGAACTCGTCGAAATAAAACTAAAGCAAAAAGGGTGGCGATGCGCTGAGATTGTATTGAACGTGTATGTTCAATGATTACATGGGGTTCAGGGTCTATTTATACCCGAGAATCACAAACTATGTCCATACCGGACACGACTCTTATCTCTAACATACTCTAAGATACCATAAGTCTTTGCGGCAGACTTTTGCCCAAACATATCTCTAAGGAAATTACATAAAATATCCTAATTAATAGATACAATTGCCTTCTCAGGACTCTATCCATGCATGGCAATCGTCTTGAAGCATATCAACTCAACCCGATGTCGCACACCAAATCGTATCGTCGGAATCGGCTGTATCGGCTTACCCAGTCTGATCGGACTCAGCCGATTCTGATCGTAACCGATTTGGACTCCAACCGATTCTTACTGTGTTTCCGCAATGATCTTCACTTTCGATTCCGCTTCGATTCAATCTTCTTCTCCGATACTAATATTACCAAACTTTAAAAAGTAGGGTCAAATTGGTAGCTAGATTTAAAGCGGGGTCAAATAAGCAATTGCCCCAAAAATAAAAAATGGGTGCACCCCTATAAGATTTAAAATCGGCACCAATGGGTTTCTCTGCAGTAGTGAGTATAAACTATGTTTAGTAATTTATATCTTAACGATCCATCTTATCAATTTAGTATTTCATATTTTTTTAAGTACAAGTTTAACGTACACACAACACAATCGTGCAATCGCTCACATATCTACCAGGACTCGTTTTGTGAAGATTTTAAAAAAAATTTATAGCTATTTAGATTGCATGTATGCAATTAGGGCCATGTTTAGATTTCAACTTTTTTCAACAAATTTCTAACTTTTCCGTCACATCGAATTTTTCTACACACAAACTTCCAACTTTTTCGTCACATCATTTCAATTTCTTTAAAATTTTAATTTTGACGTGGAAATCACAACCTAGGTGTGTATATGTACTTTGGTGAAATACTTTCTGCAAGCACGAAATCCTATAGACACAGCTAGCATACGAATCATAAGATTGAACAGAGCTGATCGACAAAAGAAATAAAGAACGGGGAACTACGTTCTGCCGCAAAGGATGCCGTGGCAGCATCAGCTTTCAACGGCAAGTTTTTCCCATCCCGCGGCAGACAGTCAAAACAACGGCGGGTCGACAAGTCAATGTTTTTGACACGACGAACACCATAAAACTTTAAAACGTGTTTGAGAGTTGACGAAAGAAAAAAAAAACATACCCAGAAAATAACACAACTATTAGCTATGATTAATTAAATATTACAACAATTCTTTTAAATTTAAAATTTAAAAATACAACTTTTTAAAATTTCTTTTGTAAAAGAAAATATCGTTTAGTATTTTGGTAAGCGTGAGGTTGAAAAAAGTAATTTTTTTCTCTGTGTTGTTGCTGAACGCAACCTAAGATAGCATTAAAGAAGTACTCATGGGACAAAACTTTAACGAAGTAAAACTGAATAAAAGGATGCAAAGTGCAAAAACTAAAAAGAGTATCAGTGACTAGGATCTAATTTTTCAAGCTGTTTTCTTGAATTTAGATATATATATAAAAAATAACTTATCTTTAATTAAGAACTCACCAGGCATGTACTAGTTGGTTGTCCTCATGCTTAATTAATTTGGTTAATCTCATCTTTAATTTGGCCAAAAACTTGCTTGCTACTCCATATCGTTATCAACCATAACGAATGAGATTAAGCAAAGCACGAGGGTCGTTGTTGAAGCTGAGTACATATTTGACCAAATTTTTTAATGTTTAGTGGCACGTACATATATACCTACAGATACATCTCTTTGGCATGCGCACAGTGTTGTTTATAGAGAGAGAGATGCGTTCTAGCGGGATCAGCGTAATTGTTGTCGTTCGCCACCTGGCGTGGCTGGTGCTAATTTTGTGCTCATGGCCGCGGGTTGCAGCTGCTCAGGCTCAACAAGCACCAAAAACTGATCCAGTCGAAGGTTTGTATTGAGTTGTTTTGTTTTTCCCCATATAAATCGCAGGAGTATAGTACACTTCGGTTGATATATGGTGTCCTCTCTTGCCGCATTGACACGAGAAGAGTTGGAGGAAATTTGATTCATTAATCGCCTAGTTTTTTCATCTACATGATTAGTACTTCATGACGAGTTAACCACACAGCGGCCGCCCTGAACACGATCCTAGGGAGATGGGGCAAGAAGGCATCGTGGGAGTGGAACATTAGCGGCGAGCTCTGCAGCGGTTTCGCCTCTACTGAAATCGACTGGGATTACTACCCCACCATCAACCCGTTCATCAAATGCGATTGCAGTTTCAGCAACAACACCCTCTGCCATATTACCAAACTGTACGTTTGTTTTCATCAGTTGTGCAACATGTATCTCGATGCGGTGCCTGAAAAATATAAGCAAAGGAACATGTCAGATTATCGATACGTCTGTTTTCACCAGTTGTGCAACATGTATCTCGATGCATGCAGTGCCTGAAAATATAAGCAAAGGAACATGTCAGATTATTGATTACTAGTATTTCCAATTCATAGAGCCATCACATCGGTTTATCCTAAATTGGGTCCTCCGGCTCCAGTGACCTTTCTTTAATTTGCATCTTATTTAGGCAAAACCAAATATATCCCAATTAGCACAATTCTCATATATAGGTATTGCATGTCTATTATGCAGGAGGGTATATAAATTGGGAGTAGTTGGTCAAATACCTGCAGAGCTACAGAATCTCACCCACCTAGAGTATTTGTATGGTATCTAAGTCTTTTCTCCTTAATCTTGATAACTAATTGTTACACTACAGATTAAGGTTTTGCCGTAAATATAAATTATATTCCATGTTCTTTTTGTGAAAACAGACAGCTTATGCTTTTTTTCTGCTAATTGACCTAGTGTTTCTTTATGTTGTCTTCAGGAACTTTAATTATAATTACTTGACTGGTGCCATTCCATCATTCATTGGAAAATTCAGTTCAATGAAATATTTGTAGGAGTTACACATCACATTCTAGATTTATGTACTATATCCCTTTCATATTATAAGTCGTTTTCAGTTTTCCAAATCAAATTTCTTTAGCTTTAATCAAGTTTGTAAAAAAATGTAGCAATATTTTTCTACATAAAACAAAGAAACTATTAAAATGTTTTCAATGTTAGATTTAATAAAACTAATTTGGTGCTAGAAATATTGCTATATTGTTTTATAAACTTGATCAAACTTTAAAGAAATTTGATTTTAAAAAAGTCAAAACGACTTTTAATACGAAATGGAGAGAGTACCATTCAATGGTTAATGTTTTTTCTTAATTCTGTTTCATCATTTGAAGGGCATTAGCTTCAAATTCACTGTCCGGACAACTTCCAAAGGAACTTGGGAACCTCACCAATCTTCTCTCGTTGTAAGATAATCTTTCCCATGGCAAATAAATCATCAACTATTTACTTGGACTGCCTCAACCAATATAATACAACAAATATTAATCGCATAACTTCTCAACAATAATAAATTAAGTAATAAAAAACCATAATTGCAAAAATATCATAAACTACTAAACAACATGTAACAGACAAGTCAGTGCAATTCCTTTTCCATGTGTTGCATCGTTTGATCAGGAAAACACGATGCCCCCTTTCTTCTATTATATAGTTGAACTAAAAAAATTTAAATCACTGCTGAAATATTTCATTTTCAATTAGGGGCATTAACTTAAATAATTTTACCGGTGTACTTCCTGAAGAGCTGGGCAACATGACCAAACTTCAGCAATTGTAAGATGCTTCGTTAGTTCCTAACATCCAATTTCTACTTCTAAAAGAATTAAAATTTGAAAAGAGCAGATCTGTTGTTGACCATGATAGTTACTTCAATGTTCCAAAAGCAGGTATGTTGCTAGTTCTGGATTCAGCGGTCGGTTTCCTTCGACGTTTTCAAAGCTTCGCAACCTGAAGTTATTGTACAGTCAATAACAGAGACTCACCTAGTATGTTTATGGTGTTTTCTTGCTGAATGTCAAATATTTTTGTGTGCTTGTAGGAGAGCATCAGACAATGGATTCATAGGGAAGATACCTCATTATTTTGGCAGCATGACTAATTTAGAAGATATGTAAGATTAATTATGTATATTAACTTGTTAACATATCATTCGCTCTATCCTAATCAGAGACAAATGAAATTTTGCAACATAAATTTTCTGCATATATGATTTTCCCATTCGAATTTGAACAATATAATAGCAAACATTTCCACTCAACAAAATTGCACACATCTCTATCACACTAAATTTATCCAGGGGGCATGTTACTACATCGAGATTTTATGAAATAAAAAAGGAAAAAAAAACTGTTGATACACATACAGCTTACTTTAACCTTACTTTAAATAAATGGTGGCATGTATTCTTTCTAAAGTATGAGCTTTAGTGGTTTCGAAGGAAACTCATTTGAAGGACCAATTCCAGAAAATCTGTCTAATCTGACCAGATTAGAAAACTTGTAAGTATACTTTTTTGTGGTATTGATCTCTCTTGAAGATTGACAATGCCAACGCTGATGAGTTATTTCTGAAAAATACATGTGAGCAGACGGATTGGAGATATAGTAAGTGGGGCCTCTTCATTGGCATTTATCAGTAATCTGACATCTCTGTACCAACTGTATGTGATGTTTTTGCTTCAAATTAAGTTTACAGTGTATAGGCAAATTTGCAAGTTACAAAAGTTGGATTTCGTTCTTACACAGGATATTAAGAAACTGTAAGATATCGGGTGATCTCAGAGCATTAGATTTTTCCAAGTTTCGAACACTAATATCGCTGTAAGTCTCCCAACCACCGGCTATGGTGTCACATTTCCTCATGTAGTGAACCATATGTACTCCAAGTAATTTATACTATACTGTTGTGGCACAGGGACCTAAGTTTTAACAATATCACAGCCCAACTTCCTTAATCCATCCTACATTTGTCGTGAATTCCTGTAAGAAATTCTTTCTTGATATTAATTGAGTTTTTTCAAGCACCTTTTAAGCAGATGAGCATGTTAGATCTCACATCTTCAATTGTGCTCAATTTAGGTTTATTGGGACAATTTATGTAAGGATGCATGATAGTAAAAGCTCTTCACATAGAGCAATGTATGTCAAAAATAATAATCAGCGGAGCAGTATAGCACAAATATTTTGATAATAGAATGATGTATCAGTATCTATATATGATACAGTTCTGCAATGCTTAGGAGATTATTTTTGTACAATTCTGCAGTACTGGAATCTTCCCTTCCTCGGCTACCTAGAATAATTTGCAGTTCTAAGTATAAAATTACCATATTTGTGTTTGAGAGGAAAATTTAGATCATTGAATATTTATTTTGTGAAATGATTTTGGTAACAAACAGCTTTTACTTGTTAGTATTACACCCAAGTTGGTATCCACGTACCTAGAATACTACCGTGCCAATTATGATAGTCTGCGAAGTCTGAAATTTATTAAAATTTTCGATAAAATTCACTCGCAGCTCTCTGGTTTGACTTGTGAGCATTGGTGACATCATCTTTTGGTGAGTTACGATTTGAGCGGGATGTTGATGACCACACTATAACTATACGGGACGCAGTTGTGTTGTGCCTTAGCGATCGATATACCTCTTTATAGGTTGTTGTTCTTATCGGTGCAGATCAACCTTATACCTGCAAGCAAATCAAAAAATAAGCTAAAAAAAGATAAAAACAATCTAAATTGCAAATACTAATTAAGCTCGCGATAAATTTAACACCCAATAAGGTGGGGTGCCGAAGATGAGTGATTAAGCGGTCAGCCAACATGCACAATTACGAGGTAAAGTAGAAATAATAAACTTCAATCTATCAAAACCCAAAAAAAAAAGTAAAATTCACAAAACTACACGTTTTGTGGTCCAAGTTGTAGAAAACCACACACACTTTGACACTTGGCACTTAAGTACATATGTTTTGGTAGTGTAGTTTCACAAAACCACACTATCGATGAATAGATTAACCCCGCGAGATGACGTGACTGTTTCACCTAGGACGAGGAAATGGCATCCTATTACCAGCCATCACACGAAATTAATAGGATGCCATGTCCTCATCCTATATGAAACAACCACGTCATCTCACGGGTAAATCCATTCATCGATAGTGTGGTTTTGTGAAACTAAACTACCAAAACATATGTACTTAAGTGCCAAGTGTCAAAATGTGTGTGGTTTTCTGCAACTTGGACCATAAAATATGTAGTTTTGTGAAAGTTACTCAAAAAAAAAACCATAAAAGGGTACCTAGCTATTTAAAAAGATAGGAGGGTGACTAGAGAGTCTCTAGGGTTGTGCTCCACCAAGTTGGGAAGCTAACCACTTGGGCCTCTCAGATGAATTTACATGCCAATGGGCTCATTACAGGTGGCGTATCATCTTGTTTCTGTAATTCCCACTGACTCATTTGGAATTTCGAGGTAAGGCCGCAAATAATGTAAAAGAGGACTCCAAGAGCTTTCTAGTATGTAATATATATATATATATATATATATATATATATATATCCGACCCAAAACAAAGCTCGTATGGACATTTGGCATTCGTTTGAATTCAACACTATTGCAGGTAGCCCAATTGGATTACATAACTTGGGCGGCTTGATCTCAAGGTTTAGGATCAAAGACATAATAGAGGGGGTGAATAGGATTCCTAAGAAACATGGTGTAATTAGAAGTTAAACTTGCTAAACAAAGACTAGCCTATGTGCCTAGGTTTATCGCAAGTGCAGGCATGTTTTGTACCCTAGTTGAAGTCCTAACAATTTTACAGCAAACTAAGTATTGAAAGGAAATACAAACTAAAGAGAGGAAAGTGATAGGAAATTAAAACACACGGCACGATGAGTTCTTCCCGAGGTAGTGGGGATAGGAAATTCAAACACAAGATACAAGAGTATAGCTCCCTCCCATAGTCATGAAGTCTATATGCGCTATCATCATGGTGATTCTTTTTTGCTCCAGAAGGTGAACCCAAAACCTTCACAACCACATAAGGTTTCCCACAACCTTCTTGAGAGATCACCGGATTGCCTCTGAGACTGACTAGGCATGCCGGAAAGCCAAGAGTAGTAGGAAAAAACCTTCACTAGAAGCCCTTAGAAACAAGACTCTTGGATGGTGCACAGTAAGCTACTCTCAACTCAAACTAGCACTAAACTACTGAAGAAAATTATAACAACTAGCTCAATGGTGTTCTTGGACACGCCCTTCAATTATTGAGCTAAATAGGGTTTCCAGAAACATTAGGGAGTCCTAGAAAAGTGATAAATATAGCCCCAACCGAGCTCACTTATAGCCATTCGTAGCCATTGGAGATCAAGCAGCCAGCCCTCCTGGTGAATCTACACTTCAATTTGATGAAAGTAGAATTGGAGATATCTCTCAAGTATCTCAATTAGAGAATGAAGCTTTAACTCAACATTTCACTGAGAATGAGATTAAAGAGGCTGTATTCCAAATGGAACATAACAAAGCACCGGGCCCTGATGGTTTTCCTCCTGAGTTTTACCAAGTTTTTTAGAATGTTGTTAAAAATGATTTGTTCGCTCTTTTTAATGATTTCCATAATGGTACTCTTCCGTTATTTTCGCTTAACTTTGGTACAATTATCTTGTTACCCAAGTGTGATGAGGCCATGAAAATTCAATAGTATAGGCCCATATGCTTACTTAATGTTAGTTTCAAGATTTTTACCAAAGTCCGGAATATTTGGTAATGTTTCGGATTTGCCATATCCGTTCCTCCAAGAATATCGCTCATTGCCTTTTTCCGACCGTTACCGCACCGCTTTAAATACTAACCGTCGTCCCCGAGAAATTTCACACCGTTAGCTCCGTTTTCACCACTTAAGCCAACCTCGTCTTCTCTCTCTCCGGCGATCCCCTCGACGCACCAGACGATCCCAAGGCGATTTCCTCTCCGACCAAACTTCCGCCTGCGATGATGTCAACTTCCGCCATCCCGTCTGCCGCGCCATCGACCGAATACGCAGAGGTAAGTACCCATCGGCTAGATTCTCTCCTTTATGCAGTAGATTGGTTCTTCTTTGTCTTATCTTGTTTTCTTCTTCTCTTTTCTTGTTTGCATCTGTAGCACTTGTCCAACCTGGTCGCAATTCCCAGTTTGTCACATGAACATCACTACTTTCTCGGTCCAATCGGCAATCCCGATCCCACTAAGTTTATTATTGCTGGAACCAATAGGATCCCTTTTAGATTGGCCAACCCAATCCTAAGTCACTGGAAGAATACCTTCAAGTCTTGGCCTTCTCTTGAGAAAACTTCCCCTGAGAAAAGCTGGTCTGTGTGGTATAAGCGTGTATTAGCCAGCAAGCAAGTTCATTGGGACGAACTAGGAATCGGCCATGCCCTTGCTCTTACATTAGCAAATTCGGCTAAGGACAAACCCTTGATGGCCTCTCCAGCCTATTGTTGGTCCAACGCCCTTAATGCTTTCTTGTTTAATCAAGGGCCGATGACTCCCACTCTGCTTGACATCACCATGATTACTGGTCTAGATGTGACCTTATCGGCTAACCCCATGAGTTTGAATACCAAGAATCAATTTGATTTTAGGACCAACAGCATAGGTGGTTGGTCTGGCTATGTAGCCGCATATATGGGCAAAGGATCTGCCACCCCCCGAGAGCACACTGCCTTTCTCTTCATGTGGCTTGAAAAGTTTCTGTTCTGTGGATCAAGCTGCGGTCCTACCACCAACTGGCAGTTCTTAGCCGAAGCCCTTGAAAGCAAGAGACAATTCCCTCTAGGCAAAATCCTTCTCGGCTATCTGTACCAAATGTTGAGTAATGCATCGGCTAAGATAGCCACAGGCTCAGTAGTGGGTGCGGGTGGACCATGGTGATTGCTACAAACATGGCTTAATCTTGTCGTTATGAAGGTTGTGAATCGGCCGCCTCTGATAGATGCTGAATTCCCAAGGCTGGAGCCCACCACCAATGATGACAGGGAAGAAGTTACCCATCGCCGATGCCTGTCGTATGGTGAAGCTACATCAACACCAGCCGATTCTGGAGCAAAGCTATCGGCTCAACTGCTCAAGGACTGGTTCTGCAGTTTCTATGAAGGCTTCCAAAGAGATGCTCGAGTCTGGTTTCCATATGAGGACTCAGTAAACTTTGATCTCCCATCGGACTTCAGATTTGAAGACATCAACTCTGAAAATTCCAAAAATCCAGAGAAGTCTTCTCGGCTGCCATTAGTCCATGCATCCTTCCTGTTGGCATTCACCAAGGGAGAAACATACAAGTATCTTAGGAGTTATACCATCCAATGAGCTCGGCCAGACAATTTGGAATGGGATAGTTGCCGATCGGCTTGTTCTTTGCCGATAAGATCCAGTGCAGAGGAGAAATCTGATCAACATTGATGATGGATCGGCTGCTCAATATCCTAGGACCCCCTTTGGGTAGTATTGATAACATAGAGCTGGCAAGGTTCAGGAGCAGGAACTTTGAAAGATGGTGGGGTGAATGGAAGCAACATATATTCCATCAGCTAGCCTCTATGTATATGACAGATCTATTCCCAGATATTGTTCCTCAGGTATATCGTTACTCTGTCAATTCTGTTGTAATAAAAGTTAGCCGATTTGTACCTTTAACTAATCTCTTCGTTTATTTTGCAGACAATAGAATCTTCTCCTCCTCGCAAAAGCAACAGTGGCAGAGATATAGAATATGTCCTAGGCCTTCTACCAAATGGAGGTGGACTAGCTCCTCCTGTCATTGGCTATCATGCCCCCAGGACCACAAGTCTGCTTCAAGAGCAAATGAGAGAACCACCCGATATTCGTAAGAAGAGAAAAACCAAGGCATCGGCTATTGATCCATCGGCTCTGGCTCCCAAGAAGAAGACCAAGAAGAATAAACCCAAGCCAGCCGATGACCTGCCTACTTTAGATCCATCTATTGAGCAAGCCTGGGATGAAGAAGAGATCGAAGAAGATGTTTGTCACACCCTGAAGTTCTCCTCCCAAGCCAAAAATTTAATTTATAAATGACCCTAAGAAAATGCCGGCGCAAATCAAGAGAAAACCCTAAGAAAGTAATACAAATAATAATCGAATCTGACATGTGGAATTTTTCTTGAGTTCTACATGTCGAAATTCACTAACAGGATTTTTAGTGGAATTTTCAGAGCCCTAGAAATAATTTTGACCAATTAAAATTGAGCATAAGCAATATTTAAATCCCTGGAAATTCCTTTCTTCCTTTTTCTTTTTCCTTTTCCCTTAGTGGGCCGCCGGCCCACTTCCCCTCCTCTCTCCCCGCGCCTTGCTGGGCCGGCCGGAGGCCACGCCCCAGCTCAACCCGCGCCCCCTCCTCTCGCCCGGGGTCACCGACAGGTGGGGCCCACCTGTCGGACCCGTCTCCCACCTCGCCGCCGCGCCCGCAACCGCCGCCGCGCGCACGCCTCCGCCTCCTCCGGGCCACGTCGGCCACGCCCGCGCGTGCGCCGCGTCTCCCGCGCC